TCAACATGGAGAAAATTAATTAGCGCGACGCGTATCCCATCCTCGGACCGATTTCACGGGCTCGAGATGTTGCACGAGAGGCAGGCAGGTACAAAGAGATTGAAACGCGCGTCATGCTGATCTGTAATTTATATCGTTCGCACATTTTATCGTATATTCGCCGAGGCGATTAGTATAAGAGAGTGCGCACCGTGTGTTTAATTATTTTCGGACACGTATTGATTTCGTAAAGATGTGTATGATCTGCATTTTTATTATGTACGATCTTTCCCTCTACAGTTTCCCTTTTATGTATAGCGGAAGTCTGTTATAACAATTTTTTTAATTGTTTGGAACAAAGTAATTTGTTCTAAACCGGTGAAACTGAGCAAAAAAATTATTTCTCATTTTTTTTTGCAATAATCAATTAATTATTAACAGTTCGTTGGAGCGTTATATCGTTATTCTAATTTACGCTTGTACAACCAGTGTTTGTTGTTATCTAAATAAAATTATATAGATGATCATCTAGATGAAATTTTGGCGTCATCTCATTACTTAAAGCAGTAAACCATAAAAACTTATAAATAAAAGTAGATATAAATATATTTTTATATCCCTTTTATAATTTACATTTTTTTATAACTGTTTACATAAGTGGTCTTAAAAATCTTTTCAGCACAACACTGATGTCATCTTATTTTAGGGAAGAAATAACATGGGCTGTTATTTGTTATACGTTTTGAATCTGCAATATTCGGCCAGCGAGCTGTTAATAATTAATTGTTCGATTATTTTGTGTATAGATTAATGAGAAAAATTGGCATGTAATTTGTAACTACAAAATTGTTCTGAATAATAACTGTTTTCTTCCAATTAATTGATTCTTCTCATCATTTTGTGCATAAATACTCTATTTTTATAACTTTCTTATATCGTATTCTTATAACTTTTTATGCCAAATATTGCAACGAATCGATTTCTATAAAAAAAGGATGATTCTATTTAAAAGCTCTAGGTTAATCTTTAAACGATTCTGAAAAATGCCACTCAAAAACAATTCTAAATCACAATATTATGTCCTTCTTGAAATCTTACGATTGTCTGATACATTTTCTCCCGCGATTTCCAGATATTTGCTTGTTAAGATTCAAATGAATCATCGTGCAGATACGTATGTATGTATATAACAGTTAATTTTTGCGTGCTATACAAAGAATTATGAATCAGAAATCATTCTCTTTTTTAGTCGCTGCTGCCCATTACATCGATTCGACGTAATGAGCGAACAAACTGCTGGACTGTAGAAATAAATAGCCGTAACGATTACAGCGTGTACATACAGCCACGTACATATGTGCGAGCCGCGGTCATGATATGGGAAACGAGCAGCGTCTCTGAAAAAAAAAAAAAAAAAATTGTGAATGGCGCACAATTACGCTTAAAAAATTGAACGGCCACCGAAATGCAGGTAGTCTTCTTCACGAAGCGGCGCAACGCTTGGCAGCGCCCGCTGCCTGTCATTACGCCATTCGCTCTCCACCGGTAATTGACAGTCTAATGACACAGTCTAGAGAGTCCGCCGCTCGCTTCGCCCGGTCTTTTCGTATACATCACGATCTCGTACGGGGGATTTCTCATTAATGATTTGCCTTCTTTGTCCACGATCGGCCGCTTGTCTAAACTAAACGGCCGCCTGCGCCGAAAATCGCGGAGTCATGACTTGTGGGTGTTCCCTGCTAATCACCGTACGTACGTTCAGCAAGAGAACAGTTATAATTAGTATATAGCGAAATTAATGAAGCGAAGATTTTGCACATCGAACGTGTAAAATTGAGATTTTTTTTTAACGAGTCTCAGAATTTTTTTAGTATCGAAAGCTTTAAAATTATATACGCGAGGGAAAAACGCAAAGTTCTAAACTTTTTTGGTTTGTTTATCTAATTTTTTGAATAAAAATTGAAAGGAGTTTACCTTTATTTTTGTGTAAATAAAACAAAAATTTTATGCGTTATAAGAAATTTAAATAATGTATAATAAATAAAATGTATGTCCTAATATTATTATTATTTGTTCTAGAATTTTGTAGAATGGCGATATTGTTCCAGTTGCACTCATTTAATCGTGAGCAAAACGTGTCAAAATAAAGAACTAGGTATTTTGTGCGATTTAATTTTGCTCGATAAATTTACGGCGCGGGATTGGTGTGAATCAACCAACTTGATAATTAGAGTGTAGAAAGAGGTAGATAGAACTCATGAAAAATCAGAAGCACGAAACTACTACAGGCGCCACTGGATGACTTTACGAAATCGCGTTTACAAAGGACGCCGCGAAGGATTTTGAAACCGACTCCAACAGCGTAATCATACTTCCCTAAAGGAACCGACAGCAGATTTAAAAAAGCGCTAGTAACGCGATGAACCAATATAAAATAGCTCCTAATATTTTAAAATCAAAAATTTCTATCTCCTTCCCAATATCAACATATTTTATGAATTTAAATTTAACAAACAATTTCGCACAAATTGGTCCATATTTTTAAATTAATTCCTCATCAGTTATTGCGAAGCTCGCAAAAGGGTAATGACTTTTCTATTTGGTTTAATTCGCTTTATGACTCTCGAGAGTGTTGTATATTTCAGTTTCTATTTCAAAATTTTTTTAAGGGATGATTTTCACGCATTTGTAATACATGTATAAATAATGTAATACATATAACATTTAATTACATACGTAACCTTTCAAAGAAATTTGTTACAATAATAAAAATTATTTTTAACTTACCTATACTAAAGTGTTAAAATGTTAATGTGGGGACAAGGTTTGCATACATTCTTAATTTGGACATTCTCTTAAGTTGAAAAACCGGTAATAGAAGCACATGACTCTCGAGAGTGTGTATATTTCAGTTTCTATTTCAAAATTTTTTTAAGGGATGATTTTCACGCATTTGTAATACATGTATAAATAATGTAATACATATAACATTTAATTACATACGTAACCTTTCAAAGAAATTTGTTACAATAATAAAAATTATTTTTGACTTACCTATACTAAAGTGTTAAAATGTTAATGTGGGAACGAGGTTTGCATACATTCTTAATTTGGACATTCTCTTAAGTTGAAAAACCGGTAATAGAAGCACATGACTCTCGAGAGTGTGTATATTTCAGTTTTTATTTCAAAATTTTTTTAAGGGATGATTTTCACGCATTTCTAATACATGTATAAATAATGTAATACATATAACATTTAATTACATACGTAACCTTTCAAAGAAATTTGTTACAATAATAAAAATTATTTTCGACTTACCTATACTAAAGTGTTAAAATGTTAATGTGGGGACGAGGTTTGCATACATTCTTAATTTGGACATTCTCTTAAGTTGAAAAACCGGTAATAGAAGCACATGACTCTCGAGAGTGTGTATATTTCAGTTTCTATTTCAAAATTTTTTTAAGGGATCATTTTCACGCATTTGTAATACATGTATAAATAATGTAATACATATAACATTTAATTACGTACGTAACCTTTCAAAGAAATTTGTTACAATAATAAAAATTATTTTTGACTTACCTATACTAAAGTGTTAAAATGTTAATGTGGGGACGAGGTTTGCATACATTCTTAATTTGGACATTCTCTTAAGTTGAAAAACCGGTAATAGAAGCACATGACTCTCGAGAGTTTGCTCGAGTTTTGGCCAACGATTCTCGCGTTTAACCACGTAAACAACGCCTTTGTTGTCCGCCGCGATTTCCATTTACGGATTCGACACGCGCCGGCACAAAGGACCGCGCCGCCATGCTTCCGAGACTGGGGGGATCGTGATGCGGAGCTTTCTATTCGATATTCAACAATGTAACACGAGCATCGAAGGGTCGATCGATCGTCATGCTTCCACCTCTTTGTCTCTTTAAAGTCTCTCGCACTTTTAACGGTTATTCAAACTTTTTACGCATACACAGCCTCGATCTCGCGGAGAAAAGGGGAGAATCTATAATAGTAATTATTTTTCAATGGAAATATATTTTAATGAGAAACTCTTGGAAAAAAGTCAAACTCATCATTGAAAATTATTCGAGTTCTATTGCTCACAAAAGAAATCTTTTGATAAATATTTAAATACGTATAATATATACGGGGTTTCTAAATAGGTGCGAAAAACTTTACCCTGTGTTCTTTTCTCAAGAGTACACTTCTCCAAAAGGGGAGATGACAATTAGGTCTTTAATTTTTTTTTCAAATTTTGTGTAAAACATGTAAAAAGAATATTTATTAATCCTTTTTTAATTTTCCCGTATCATTATAAGGAGATGAAACTAACAACCCCTATTCAATTTTTTATTAGAATTCTTTTACCGACCGGAATTTGATTATCTAAAAATACGTGTTAGACAGTTTGATTCCTTTAGAAACTTTTTTATTTCTCTTATTTTTTTCATAAAATCACTCGTTTTCAAGAAAAAAATAAAGACTTAATTTTTACCTTCTCCGCCTTTGAAGAAGTGTAACTTCTTAGGAAGGGTTAATTTTCAACAGTGTCATCTCCTAAAATTTTTACACTTATTTAGAAACACTTTGCAAACATGATAAAATTTTTTTAAATTTAATACAAAATTAAATTAATATATTTTATGTGCAGTTAATTGTGGATTAATCCTAAACGAATTTGTTTGCAAAAGAAAGATTTGTTATATCTTTTTATAAATATAATACACTCTCTCTCTCTCTTAAACACACATAATATATACACGATAAAAATGTCTAAAATTTAATATTGCAAAGTTGAAGATCTTATTAATATATTTCATGCGTGGTTAATTGTAGATGAAGCCTAAACAAATTTTTAGACACAGGAAACCATCATCGCGCGTGCGCGCGTGTCATGTTGCGATCGTTTATGTATATACACGTTTCCAAGCACAAAATTAATTATTGTCCGCATATGTCACGCTGCGTCGCATTTTTTAAAAATTAGTAACGCGCCTTCCACGCTTTTCGCTTACCTTCTGTTTTGGTACCACGTTTTCACTTGCGTGTCCGTCAGCTGCAGCTTCGCCGCCAGCTCCATTCTATCCTGCACGCTTAGGTACTTTTGCCGCTCAAAGCTCTTCTCGAGGGTTTGAAGCTGATGATCCGTGAATGCTGTGCGCGCTTTACGTTGCTTCTTACTTTGTGCGGAGCCCAGGGAACTCGAGGACGAGCTTTTAGGATCATCTTCTTTGCCACCTGAAATTGTGCAAACTGTTGATATTGAATGTTTTCTTGTTTTCTCACCGTCTTGTGTTGCACTTACTTAATTTGAGCTATAAAATTAGAGGAAAAAGTGAAACAATTTTTTAATTATTTCTTTTGTTTGGGCTTCTTTAATATTTTTATCCACGAATTTAAGCTCAAAAGTAGTAATACCGGTAACTCGGTAGAGGGTTATTTGCGAACCTTTTTGCTATGTATATTCTATATACAATTATAAAAATAAAATAATAATTATTTCTTTTTATTATTTTAAAAACCTACAAAATACATAGCAGATCTTACTTCTCGTTTAATTTTAAGCAAAATTAAAACTAATTTTTTATCCAAGATTTATACCGAAATCCTGAATTTCACGATACTCGCATATATCACGGAGGCGGATTCTGGTACAATCGTTTTGCCAAAAGATCGCTATAAAGAATCGTCGGTCTATCATTGGGCCTAGGGAAGGGCTGTAAAGGGCCGAGTGTGGCTTTTGTTTTCGCGGAGGGTGGAATCGATGCGCGTGGATTATACGTCGTGGTCGTTTTTGCCGTTGCCTGCATGGCGATTGCAGTTGCCTCTCTAGCGACGAAAGAGAAAGAGAGAGAGATAGAGAGAGAAAGGGGTGAGGGAAGAGAGAGAGAGAGAAAGAGTAATCCTTTTGTTCTCAGTTCAACTCTCTGCGCAGCCGAGAGCTGATTGGCCAGTATCGCGGATTGGACCACGCAGCCGCGTTGAGACGCCACAAATCATCCCTCCAATACATACCCGAAAGAGAAAGAGAAAAGAGAGAGAGAGAGAGAGAGAGGGGAGTGATTTTCTGAGGAGACCGATCACACTATTTACGAGCCACTTTCACACATGCGATGATACACAATCGCGCACTTATTCTGATTTCATCCCTCTCAAGCATCATCATTCTTGGTTCCATCATAGAAGAATAGTCGGGAACGCGTGATCTTCCACTTTACGCGTTATTTTTTGACGGAGCGGAAAATCAAAGACGATTATTAGGGAAAAATGAATGATCAAGCAATGATGTGGTCAGAAGAACATGATAACGAAACTTCGTTACCTCCCAAAATTGTCGACCCTCAATCGAAGCAACAAATAAATATTCTTGAATGGGGTTGAAATAATAAATATTTTTACGCAGCATTCAATATATCTTCTCTCTAACTGTAATATAACAAATATAATATTCCAAAAGAAAAGTTGACCCTTAATTCTCCGACATGTCTCCACTTGCACAAAAAGTACATATACCATATAATTACTTTTCACGTAACTTCTATAATAATGTTTTATACAATGCATAATTTATGAATTATTCAAGGTGTGCAAGTTAGATGTATTCCCCTATTTTATATACCTTTTTACTGCTTCGGCGTTACTATATATGATCCTGATAGTATTTTAAATGGATATTCAATTCTTGCAAAATTTGTACCATGAACACTTGGGTTCGCACTATCGTCCCATGAAGATAATTTGAAATTGTGACGTAGGCATTTCGAATAGCTTTTTTTACAATTAGATATAATACGCGTTTCAAACATTTTTTCTCCCTTTAAGTATAAAAGCTCCCCATCATAGAGCTACACCATCCAATCCTTCTCGAATTATCCTGCAGAGAAGGAGGGTGTGTCTTGTCGCGAGTAAATCGAGCAACCTCCTGAGAAGAACCTCCCGATCAGAAAACCAGCGAGACTTAATCTCCCGAGGGAGTGGAGGTCCGTACAGGCTTCTGAAAGTATCTAAAGGCCCGTTGTCGCGAGCTCATCGATTGGAACGGTCGTGGATAGTGCGGGAGAAGCATTCTGCTCGAGGTGGGAGAAAATTGGGGGTGTGGGATACAGCTAGGGAATAATATACAGCCGGAAGAGAGAGACAGAAAGATAAAGAGAGAGAGAGAGAGTAAGAGAGGGAGGTCGGGAAGATAGAAAGCTCGTGGATTGAGTTAACCCGAACGAAAGCGCGGCTCTTAGCCCCCGTTTGATCGGCCAGATTCGCTCGAACGGGTCCAGAGCCTGCTACGCCATGTTGGCTAACACGGCGCGCGCGCACACCCTGGGTGTTCCCGACTTGCATCGGCATCGCAGCAGCTCGATTCGGGCTCGACTCCCGAGACTTGTATCTACGAAAGTGGCGGAAAGGGGGTGGCTTGTGAGGATAGGAGTGGAAAGAGGGTGGAAGGGAGATAAGAGCGGAACGGTGGAAACGGAGGTTGGCAAACTAAATTTACTATGTGATATACTTAGGAGCCCAAGGGGGAGTCTCCCGACCGACGATCGGAGGTTCTACTTTTGAGACACTTCCAAGACGTTAGACGAACAACTTTTCTATCCTATCTCTCCCCTACTACTCTTTCTTCGCCCGATCCTCATCCTGACCCACGCTACGTTTCGCGCAGCAAGCACGAGGGGATAACTCGAGAACCACCACGAGAGAAACATCCATCTTTTCGTTTTCCTTGTTCACCGTTTGTCTGCGTGGCACGTAACCGCGGACGAAGAGGCTTATCTGTGTTTGCTGCCTCATCCTTACGATCCATGTTCACGCGCCACTCTTTATCCCGCGCTTTCACTCTGATACGAAATGGCGACGCCTATATACGATCGGTTTTGTGCAAAAAGTGATTTCCAACTCCGAAAATTCAAGTCAAGCTCTGTGTTTCCGCTTTGCGCATTATACAAGTTTTTCAAGAAGGAGAATTAAAATGATACGCTTCAGCGATATTTTGGACCTATATTTTTCGCGCCTAATTTGAGTTTTGAGATTAATTTATATATGGAACTTAATGATCTCAAATCAAGAGATATAGTTCCGAATAATTAATTTTTTGTGCTTTGGCTCTGTTGGCCGATTTAAAAAAAAATATCATATTTATATTCTTAATATTGAGAGCCGATAAAAATATTTCTTTCTAAAATGATACTATTATTAACTTTCTGCTCTGATGTCGCGATACTCTCATCGACCTATATCTTAAAACTATTTTATAAAATTGATACAATAAAGAAAAAACAGAAATTATCGTTTATTTTTATTTTTGAATTATTATACACAGACAGAATTTTTGAAGAAAAAAATTAATTTAAAAGTAAAATATAATTAAAATACAATATAAAAAATTTATTTTGAGATATCTACAAATAAAAATTTTGTTCATCAATATTTATCTAAAGATCATTTATTTAGATATTAAAAAAAAACTCGAGCATTCTTATGTATTTCTTTTTTGACAATTGAAACTGTTTTCTTTAATGTAGCTACTTTTTATCAATAAGACCGAGTAATCACAGATTTATATATATATAGCTTTATCTATGTTATAAAATATGTTATAATTTTTTAACTTTTCTCATCTTTAGTTCATAAAATAAATTTTAAGTTTCACACATTTTATGTATATTTATACATTAATCATGTGTGTTGTAAATAATTATTTTTCTTTTCGCCCTAAATTTTTTGCATCGATTCTAAGAGAGCCATTTCCAAACAGATAATTAATAAGTCGTATGTTTTCGCACACTCATGACTACGAAGAATAAACACATCGAGTATTATAATTAATGGTTACGCTTAATTTTGTAGGTGGGAAATTAATTTCTGTTTCAGACGCATTTTTTTCTCATTATTTTATTTTCGCGCGACCATTGATTCGCACTGAATGAATACCGACTCTCGCAGTGTATCTTCATAAGTCACGATGGTAAACATTCCATTTCCATAGTTAGAGGGGCGAAATGTATTTTAAAGGCGGATTTGCGCAAACATGGCGCTCGTAACGGATGCGCGCCAGTGCGAAAATCATGATGTGTTCTCAAGTCATATTACGCGAAACAGAGAAAGAGCGAGGGAGAAAGACAGAGGAAGAGAGAGAAAATGAACAGGAGGGAAAAGGGAAGAGGATTGCGTGCTGCAAGTATTGCCGCGTTACAATGTGTGGCACATAAAAGTGAGATTAACAGGATGTTTATCGAGCAATTATGCGCCGCTGCAATTAGTGCCAGCATGTTGCCGTCGTCATCTACGTCGCGGTCAAATCGTTTATGTCATTAATGGCAGTGGTCTTCGCAATTGTGTGATTTATTATGTAAACGAAAAATACACAAATTTTAACGGCACGTAATCAAATTAAAATTAAATCAAATCTTGAAGGAATTATTTGAAAAAGTTCGCTGAATTTATTTTTAGTTTGTAAATCTCAAATTAAAATTAATATCTATGTAAGTATGTTATATAATTATTTCAATTTTATTCTATATATTATTTAGATTTGATATTTATAAGATAAATAAAGGCAATAAAATTACACACGTATGATATGAAAAATACACAAATTTTAACGGCACGTAATCAAATTAAAATTAAATCAAATCTTGAAGGAATTATTTGAAAAAGTTCGCTGAATTTATTTTTAGTTTGTAAATCTCAAATTTAAAATTAATATCTATGTAAGTATGTTATATAATTATTTCAATTTTATTCTATATATTATTTAGATTTGATATTTATAAGATAAATAAAGGCAATCAAATTACACACGTATGATATTTTTGAAATTTAACTATGAAGTAAAATTTATAATTAATTATAATTCATAGTTTTCAAAATTTTTGTAATATCCTTACATTGTTCTCACAATTCTAATGCATATTTTTACCAAGTCTATCGACACATACATATATAACAATGGGTTTTATTCTTGTTAAATATTCAAATGACTGCTAATAATCAATACCTCTCACGTAACAAAATCTTCATAACTCATGTAGATTTTCTTTCATAAGGAAACTATATCATTAAATGTACGAGTAACGACAACAACTTCCCAAGCAATCACGTTCTTCGCTAACGTTACTGGGCCAAGGACTGCATGCAAAACTCACAGATACTGCGACGAAGGATGCAGAGAGTGCAATGTTAGTGGAGCCGCAGCCAGGGAGAAGAAGAATCAGACGGATCGTAAAAATGAGAATAATAAA